CCCTAAACCCTAAACCCTAAACCTTAAACCCTAAACCCTAAACCCTAAACCTCCTACCTACCTTCATCCCACCTTGTGACCCCTCCGAAGCCGAGCCTGCCAGCCTATGAGCTGAAGCGCCCTTTAAAAAGGCCGATAGGGCTTAGGGTTCCTTCAGGGGTTCCTTTCAAGGGTTCCTTTAAGGGCTCCTGCAAGGGTTTAGGGGTTTAGGGTTTAGGGGTTTAGGGGTGTAGGGTTTAGGGTTTAGGGGTTTAGGGTTCAGGGGTTTAGCTGACCACGCTTCTGACTTTAACAGAATATTCCTCATAATAGCGTCCCTACTTAATTATTTCATGCGTTAATAAGTTAGTTAACTCAAAGATAGTCATGGTATAATGTGCCCCAAATTCATGAACCCTTTATTCATTTACTTGATTGATTGATTGATTGATTGATTGATTGATTGGCTGATTGATTGGATAATGAATAGTTATGGTATAACATACCACAGAACCTGGTCGCAATTAACATCCTACCCTACCCATTCCACTGCGTGAAACCTCTAGGGTTCTATAACATACACGGTTCAAAGAGCGTCCTATGAAATACGGGCGCTGCAAGGGTTCGGCAAAGGGTTGTAGTCAGGTCCTACAAGGGGGCTAGAAGGGTTCCATACGGAATTCAGAAAGCCTGAACCCCATGCATAGCAACCATTAAACCTTGCGTTTAGAGGGCATAGGCTCGGGGCATACAAAACCCTGAGCTAACGTGGCAATATAATGGAGTTAAGTAAGACGTAGCTGTTTGGTTGAGGTACATATAAGACTGGACATGGCTACAAGCGGAACGTTTGGAGACATATTCCGGGCCCCACCTCTGGTGGGACCGCGGGCCCGCACCCCCGATCTTGTCGACATCATAGTAAGCGCTCATGGGCCCCGCAACGATGACACTTGTCAGCGTCTTTCTGTGCGTTTGCAGGGAGGGGGTTTTGTGTTTAGAACTGTGAGGCCGAAATAGTTAGAACAGGGTCCCTTTAAAGGGGCCTATAAGGGCTACTACAAAGGATCTATAAGGGTACTATCAAAGAACCTGGTTGTGTTTGGAACTGTGGGGTTGAGGGTTGTGGGTTCTGGCGTTTAGAGGTTATGGGGCCTCAAACCTTCTAGGGTTTAGGGTTTAGGGTTTAGGGGTTCCGATGATTCGATGAACCCTAAAATCTGTGGGCTCATATACTAGATGGTATAGGGCGGAGGGATGAATCACTATTCCTTTATAGTGCCTGTTAATACAAGCATGAATTAAGGGCCCTATATTATTCTGGCTATGGCTGCTCGTGAGAGCTTTGAGCCTGAGCAGCAGCCGCAGCCCCCATGCCGCACCCAAGACATGCGCTGCAATCAAGACGCCGGTGAATCATAGGTCACAGGGATTAGCGGGCTGGGGTTTAAGATGTACTTGGAGGTTCATGGGTAGTTATAAGTCGGGTTATAAGTAGGGTAACCATAGTTATGGCTATTAGGAAGGGCTCAGGTCGAAGTATGCAATCGGTCGGTTCAGGGTTTAGGGTTTAGGGTTTAGGGGTTTAGGGTTTAGGGTTTAGGGTTTAGGGGTTTAGGGTTTAGGGGTTTAGGGTTTAGGGGTTTAGGGTTTAGGGTTTAGGGTCTCCAGGAGGGCAAATGCAAAGTCGATCGGGTCCGCAGTTCCGATTGCTTCAATCAAACTTCTTCAACCACTTCATCCCAAGTTAGGGTTTATGGGTGTGGTGGGCGGGGGGGGGGGGGTTGGGGGGGGGGAGTCGTTAAAGTTGTGGGGCTTTCGGGTTTCCGTTCAAAGGCTTCTAAAGGGTCCTAAACCTCTGTACCCTCCCCTCCCGTTGCAGGCGCACACCCTTGGAAAGAGGCCTCTCCTGGGCGCGGTCTTTCGGTGTTTAAGGTCCACGATGTAGGGTTTAAGGTTTAGGGTTTGGGGTTTCAGGATTAGGGTTCTGGGTTTAAGATTTAAGGTTTAGGGTTTAAGGCTGAGGGTTCTGGGTTTAAGGTTTAGGGTTTAGGGCCCAGGGTTTTGGGTCTCGGGTCGCCTTCGTGCTCATGTATTTGGCTTGCTAGGCTGCCGTGACGGGCTCAGAACCCACCCAAAGCGCCAAGGCCACAAAACTCCAAACCCTCTGACTGGCCTGGCTAAACTCACAAGCATTCGAAACTTCGGTGTTCGACAAAACCTTTGCCGGACGAAAAACGACATCTTGAAAACTTCTCGAGGTGAGGTTCTAGGTTTAGTGTTGAGGCTGTGTGTTACTAGGGCCTTTTTTTCGGACATTAGTATTGGAGATCCTATGTCAAAGGATCACCGAGTTTCTCCAAACTCTACATCCCTACACTCGAAAAATCTGAAGCCGAAACCCTAAAATTCAAACGAAAAAAACTCCAAACCCTAAAGTCTAAACCCTCTTATAGATCCCTTTATGCCCTTTATAGAGCCCTTACCAATCCCTTCCAAAGGAACCCCCATAGGAACCCTTATAGATACCTTAAACCCTAAACCCCTAAACCCTAAAAACCCGAAGCCCCAAACCCTTAGCCCTAAACGCCCTAAACCCAAAGCCCTAAAAGCCCTAAACCCTGAACCACCCCGCATAAAACCCCAAACTCTAGAACTCATGAGCCGAAGCCCTGAACCCTGAGCGAAGCTCTACTATAAGGGCCTTAATAATTAGAATAGGGTTCCCTTTAAAGGGATCCTTAAAGGGGTCTATAAGGGATCTATAGTAGGGTTCCATAATATGAGAGCCTTAATAGTTAGAATGGGCTTTGGGGCCCATTATACAATACTTATAATAAGGAACCCCCAAAATAGTATAGGCAATTATGAAGGCCCCTATATTAACCCCCCCCCAGTTGTCAGAAGCCCTTGGTTCTTGGCAGGTCGTGGGTAGTGATAGGGGTTTCGCTTAAGGGTCGCTTTAAAGGGATCTAGAGGGAAAAAGGTTTAGGGTCTACATGGGGTTCATGGGTAGTTATAAGAGAAGTGATAAGTCTCCATATTTCGGCTCTTATTGTTGTTACCCTACTTATAACCCCACCTATAACTACCCATGAACCTCCAAGTTGACCTCTGCGAACTAGAACTTCGCCGAAACCCTAAACCCGAAACCTTAAACCCTGAACCCGAAACCTTAAACCCTGAACCCTAAACCTTAAACCCTGAACCCGAAACCTTAAACCCTGAACCCTAAACCTTGAACCCTGAACCCGAAACCTTAAACCCTGAACCCTAAACCCTAAACCCTAAACCGGCTGTGATGGATCTTGGCTTCCATCGGTCTTAGGGCTGAGGGCGAAGGGTTTAGGATCTCGCGTTTGGGGTACCTACTTGGAGGGGCAGGGGACTTAGTAAGTAGGGTTATAAGTACGGTTATAATTGGGGTAACTCCATTTAGGGTACTTATAACTCTACTTATAACCTACTTACTAAGTCCCCTGCCACTCCAAGTAGGTTCCTACCCTTTCATTCCTACTATCCTACTCTACGAAGCCACATAGGCACTGCCTTGGTGCGCAGGCCTACTATTCGGTTTTTGTAAGGGAACCCGAAAAGAAAAAAAGGGTATAACTCAGGAACCTAGTTATGGGTTCGGGATAAGACTGTTGGGCTTGACAGGTGCAGGGTTCCAGGCAAACTCTAAACCCTAAACCGTGAATCGTTTTTGGTGTGTTGCGGGCTTAGGGCTCCAGACTCTTACGTAGCCTATGTACCAGCTTTTTGGCGTGGCTCTCCTTGATCTTTTCGCGGCTCTCCTTCATCCTTTTGTGGAAGCCGTTCGCCCGGTCACGCGCTTCTTGTTCAAGAGCTTCTTGCTCCCGTTGAGTGACGAACGGGCTCAAACTTGGAACATTTCCATCGGCTGAGGTGCGCTCCATGACTTGTCCGGTAAACGGCCCAAAACCCCTATTCTAATTGCTAAGGCCCCTATATTAGACCTGTGCGCTGGTCTTCTGTGATCTGCACACTAGCTGTAAACCCAAAGGACAGCTGCGAATTCGACGGTGGGTGGGGGTTGTTGAGTCTCGAAGCCTCCAAGCCCTTAAGATTAAAAGGTTTAGCACAGATGCTTACACGCCACAATTGCATCCGTTCGTTCAGAAGGACTCTGAAACCACTCAGAGTGCAATACATCGCTCGTTGAGGCCACTGCCCTGCACGTTGAACGTAATAACACTAATCGGAATCATAACCACGATCATATTCATAGTCATTATCATAATCATAACCGTCATCATAGTCCTAGGTAATGATAAGCAGAAGAAGAACCATTTACGATGAACCCCAAACCTCAAGTCAAATCCGGCCGGGAAACAGCAGATCCATCTGGCTCTCATGCGTGGACACCACCCTGAGGCACGAGAAAGGACACCTACTTAGAGGCTGAGAGGCATCGTAAGTAGGTCATAAAGGAGTGTAATTGCCACGATAGCCCGACTGTGTCGGGTCTTTTTTCTCGTTTGCCTGGCCAAGAATGACTGACCATGCACAGTACTAGACAGTGCAGACAGCAAGAAAAAAACAAACGAGACTTTAGGAATCAAAGACTACCCCACTTAGGTCAGTGGCAAGTGGTATAATCCGCCGGATTAACTTAGACTAAGATACCCTAAGGAAGCTTCTATGTCAAGTTCATCATAAGGCCAAAGCATCGAGACTAGCGACCACAGCGCACCACGGGCCTCATGCTGTCCGAGAGCTTGCGAAAGGCCTCGCAAGGAGTTGGGTCGCATGGCTAAGAGTTCAACAAACTGACAAATGGAGGCCTTCGAGGTTTAGGGTATCTTTATGAATGAGGGCAGGGCGTTTGCATCTTAGGATCAAGGGGCCAGGTCAACCCCGGGTGTGCACCGCAGACTGAGAAGCTGCTGTCTAGTGCAACCAACATTGCCACCGGCATTGCAGCTGCAATGGAGGAGATGTATTGGACGGCCCATCCACCTAAGATGCCCTAAACCCTAAACCCTAAACCCTAAACCCTATGCATCTTTGGGCTGGTCTCCTCCATCCTTGGCAGCACCCTTGTCCCCCTTTGTCTCCTGTGGGGTGTCCTGTGTCGATGCAGAGCCCGACGCCGGAGGGAGCTGAAAGCTCATCGTCGCCATCAAGAGAAGTTTCCGTTGACCCGCGGCGGGCCCACCAGGAATGCAAGACGCAACCTGATGCACGTCGCTGTTGTACAAGAAGGACAATGCATCGCGGATCTCCTGGGAAGAACGAATGTTGTCCATGGCAGGCAAAGCAGCTAAGAGCAAAATCAGAAGGCTCTTACAAAGCAAGTTAAGTGCGCCATCCTCTGAAATGAGTGCAAAATGAGAGGGTCTGTGAAAAGCAAACGCAAGCTCATGAAAGGCAAATGCAGCCTCCTGGCAGGACTTCTGAGCACTCAGCTGCAAGAGTGGGATGGAAACCACGATCATCAGCACGGCAGCATCGCCATCATCATCGCCATCGTGGCCCTGAATGTAAAAACCCTCGCTAATTGCCGCCATTCTCACCCTCACCCTCGCCTTCACCATCAACATCGTCATCATCGTCGCAGCATCACGACATTTCTGCACCACGAGCAACAGTCATAGGTGCAATTGGTGGTTCTGAGCGTCGGGCTTGCGAACAAAGTCTAGGTGGCATCGGAGAGGGGTTGGTGTCTGGAGGCTATGTCTCGGGAAAGCTCCTAAGGAACGACAAATCCAGGACCTCCAAAAGCCCTGAAACACCGTTTAGGGTCTAAGGGTTTAACCCCCCTACTCAACCCTGAAGCCCTATACTAGCCTTGCCAAACGCTGTCAAAAGGCAAAAGCTGCTGAGATATGCTGAAACCTGCAAACTTGATGCTATTGTTGTGATGAGTCGCGATCTTATTGTCGGGTTTGGGGCTGCAGGGCATTAAGGCCTTGACCCTTTAGGGCATGAGGGTTTTGCCTGGAAGATTTGAGGATGTGGAGTTGTCCGTTTCAGTGCACGGTTGTGTTTACAGTTTAGGGTTCAGGGTTTAGGGTTTAGGGTTCAGGGGTTAGGGTTTAGAGTTCAGGGTTTAGGGTTCAGGGTTGTGAGAACTTGGAAGGTGGAAAACGAAAGTGCGCTCTTTATATGGATGTTCGGAGTTGAGAAAGCCTTTTACCTAAACGGCTATATACTGATGACTCAGAATGCCGGAACACAGATGTGGCAGGTGGAGGATGTTGCGTTGGGAATGTCAGTCTCTGTCTTGGCTTCGCTTTCGGGTGTGCACCTCTGGTGCATCCGGCTCGTTGTTCTTGTCCGGATGCGTCAGCAGCGAGAGCCTGATAGGTGACAGATTCGACGTCACGGTGATACCCACACCAAATTCGGAAGAGAACATAACTTAATATGGGGGGCCCCATTTGAACGGTGATTTATGGCAACATAAGATACAGTAATAACAGTAAGCATGATACACAATAATAACAAAAGGAATAGCCACAAAAAGTCACAACAGTAAGAATAATAACGATAGCAATAATAGTAAAAAAAAAACATCATTCAAGAAAGCATGGAGAGCCGAAGTCCAGATGCTGGGGTTTCGGCTTCAAACTTTCGGGTTTGGGGTTTTGGCTTCAGGCTAAGGGTATAAGTGTTTAGTCCTCAAGGCTTTTGAGGGTTTAGTTTAGGGTCTAAGGTGCTGATATTGTTTTCGGACTTTTCCTCTTGCTGCATTGCTGTTCCATGCCAGCTCAGCGATGCCTTCACGAACCCAGTTTTCTTCGGTCTGCGCGGCCCTGTAGCTCCTGACTACCGAAGCCAGTGAGCTCAAGGTTGCAGTTTCAGGCTGAACGGCCTCGTGGGTTTTACGGTTGTGGTTTGCGGGTTTAGGGAGTTTAGGGCTGCTAGTTCATGGTTGGGATAAGATTGAAAACTTAAATTTGTATTCCTTGTTGGGTTTAAGTACCCATAAAAATGTAAAATGTGACCCAACTATGACAAAGGCTGTACAAAATCAGACGCTCCAGGCCTCAAGCTCCTGATGTGAGGAAGCCTCATGCCTGAAAGCCTCGGTATACAGGTCAGACTACAAGCTTACCTAGAGACTCCAATATCCCTTAATTAAGGAATATTCCGTAAATCATATTAGGGATCCTACTATAATTTAAGGTATATTCTTTAAGTAAGGATATTGGAGTCTCTGGGTATAATATTGGCCTGAATAGCCACTAGACTAATACTGCTTTCAGACACCTCGTTTTGTTCAGAGTGTGAAATAGGCCCCTAAAGCCCTATTCTAGCGACTCAGGCCCTACATTATGATCTCCTCACTTGGGCCGCAGACCCCAAGGGTTGTGGAGCTCGTTTATTGGGGATTTGGGTTTGGAGCTTGGGGTTCAAGCACTGAACCTGAAGCTCCAAACTCTAAACCAAACATGCCGAACATCCCAAGTCCGGAAACCGCAAAGCCCGACCCCCGACCCTGAAAGCTCCGAAGCCCCAACGCAGCAATCACTAGGGCCCTAAACCCCATACCCTGAACCCACGAACCCCAAGGGGCACCTGAGGAAGCGCCGACGCAGGCGCGCCGATGGCGTCGGCTTCGGGCGGAGGCCCAGGGCCTTCGTCTTAAAGGTTTCCTGGACCCTAAGGAACCTACCTTTTAGGGTTCCCAAATATGATTTCTTTATATAAGTCCTGAAAAAGGTACTGTAGGTTATTTGGGGTTAAGGTTGAGGCTATCTATGAAAAGGGCTCCCTGACCCCTAAGCTCCAAGCATAAGCCCGGACAGCCAAAGCACCTCGAAGGCGTTGCCGGCCTCCAAGAGCCAGAGCACGGCCTACGCGTAAAGGCAGCTGCTTTGGGGTTAGCAGCCTGGGGTCGAGGGCTTAGGGTTTAGGAGGGCTCTTTTAAAGGGTTCCTCAAAAGGGTTCGTTAAGGGGTACTATAATACTATAAGGGTTACTACAAGACTATAATGCGTTTCCTTTAAAGGGTTCCTTAAGGGTACTATAATACTATAAGGGCTACTATGAGACTATAAGGGTTACTTTAAGGGCTCCTGTCAGGGCTACTATTAGGGTTGGTTGTTACTGTAAGGGTTCCTATGAAGGCTACCGCAGAGTTAGGGGATGAGCTGTTTAGGGTTTAGGGGTTCTTGGGGTTTCGGGATTTAGGGTTTAGGGTTTAGGGTTTAGGGTTTAGGGTTTAGGGTTTAGGGTTTAGGGTTTAGGGTTTAGGGTTTAGGGTTTAGGGTTTGGGGGCTTAGGGGTTTAGCAGCTTAGGATTCACAATAACTTGCACAACGATTTTGAGGGGCAACTCCTACCTATTCTTCAGACCTCTTTTGTCGGGTAGTAGGGCGTGCCGGGAAGTCGGGCTATAGGGCTGACCTGGTGCCACCAAAGCCCATGAAAGCCCTAAGTGCCTGAAGCCCTAAACCACTCAACCCCAAAATCCTGAAAAAACACCAACTGCGGCTTTACAGTCGGGAGGGATGCTCCCTAAACCCTGAAACCTAAACCCAAAGCGGTCTCGGACATGGGGTGATGGGCTCAGCCTTTACGACAGCCTCAACCCTACGACCCTGAAGCCCCAAAACAACCCGAAAACGCGACAGCTTCTAACCTGGTTTGGCTTGATGGCTCATTGACACTTACAACTGTGCTTCAACATAGCCTCAGCAAGAACCCCTCAGGTAAGATTACAGAAGGGACTGCCATGGGGCCTGGGTTTTTGCATACCCAGTGTTTTGCACTTTTTGCGCTACTTGTTGTTCGGTGCTTGTCGTTCGGGGTTGCTTTGCATGCTTCGGAAGGCCCTCTGGACCCCTGGAAGTCCTGCAAGCCGTAGTTATAAGCACAAGCCTTACACCTTACACCCTAAACCTTCAGCAAAACCAAAAAAACCAAAAAAAACAAACAAACCAAAAAAAACAAAAAAACCAAAGATTTCCGCACTAGTCGGAATCCTTCAGACTAGTGCGGAAATCTTTGTTTTTTTTGTTTTTTTTTGTTTTTTTGGTTTGTTTGTTTTTTTTGGTTTTTTTGGTTTCCGCCACCGCTGACGTGCCCGGACAACCTTCCGCTGTGGCTGTTCTTTTGGGTGTAGGGTCTACGTAAACAAGACTACTCTCTAATCTATCTTAAGTGATGCTTATAAGCAGTCCGGCTGCTTATGATTCCACGCAGGCTTTCTGCTTATAAGCAATCCGGCTGCTTAGAAGCAGGCTGTCTGCTTATAAGCAATCCGGCTGCTTATAAGCAGGCTGTCTGCTTACAAGCAGGCCGGTTGCGGCCTTCTGCTTATTGACCCTGCTTCTGCTTATAAGCAATATCCTGTTGTTTACAGGCACTCGGGGGCCTTCTAACCCCACCCACGCGTGCGCCAGACACCAACCAAGACGGAGAACACGAGAACCCACACCAATTGCACAAACATTACCGTAAATTTGATATCCTGACCTGTTGCATGTTTGATATGGAAGAACATGCCAAGCTTATCTAGCATACCACACGACCTGAATTTGTTATTATTTCCGGTTTCATGGTGTGTGCTAAGAATTCAATGGGCCAAGCACCATGTAAACCATAGGGATATATCAAGGGGAATCGCGAGGATGGAAGGCATCCAGATGGGCCTCGACCATAAGGAATCGTGGAGACTTATCTCTTGAACACGTGGTCATATACTGCCACACCATGTCATAGAATAGATACCAGGTGCTAGAAAGTCCCTTCTACACGTGGACTTTGCCTTTTTATACACACAAATATTGCAGACGCACATGTAGATAAGTTATCTGACCATATTCCATCTATCTATCTGCCTATCCATGTATCTATCCACCTATCTATTTGTCTACCCATCCATCTGTACATTCATATACATACTGGTCTCAGCATGGATGATGTCACCGACCTCTTAACCTGGCAACTTAGAGATATTGTAGAACCCTGATACAATCTATGACAGGATATGTTATGGCACCGCACAAGAGACAAAGCACACGTGTACAGTGTATATGTTTTCGCCGATTTGCAGAAATACCGTCTTGACACGGTCACATTAGCTGTGCGTTGTTGTGGGGCCCATTATAGCAAGTCATTGCGGCTGTTTTGAGATATTGCAATAAACATTGAACTGAGTACTCACACGCCACAGCCTTCAACGAGTCAAGACATAGGGGAATCAGAACACGGAAAGTCGGTTCTGCCCCCGAGAGTACCGGGTGTTAAAGTTGTAGAATACGCTGGAACGATGTATGAAGTAATTACTCATGTTTAATACTTCATGTCATTTCGCTTACAAGCGCTGGCGTATCTGCCGTGCACTTCGTATTGAGGCAGTAGAGCGTACCATGGTAGTGCAAACACAGAAGCAGTGCATGCATAGGCTTGTGAGTGTATGTATCCCTGTATGACTTAACGAAGGCATGCCCGGGTTTCTGTGTGCATCGTTAGTTACAGCGCCATAAAACCAGATGTGTATAATATGTGTTCCCCTACTGGCAGCAATATATACAGTTTTGCGATAGTCATTGGGGTTGCGGATAGGTCTGAGACGACACAGAAGCAAGTCGTACTGACATGCTGAAATACTACAGTGCAGACTCAACTGCGTAGTACTCTCGCAAACAGACAGACCTTCTCTGCACCTTAGATTACCGGGTGTTAACGTGGTAGGTTAACGTGTTAAAACAAGCTGGAATGATACATGAGACAACTACTTAAATGATTCTTTCATTTCGCTTGGAAGCAGCTGAAGCAGCTTAGTGGATTGTGGTGGTAGAGCATTCCACGGTAGTGCAAATATACAAGAACACATGTACGGGCTTTTGAGTTTATGCTTGAGTGCATGTGTATCTGTAAGAACAAACATGCCTGCGCATTCACGTATATATACATGCACATACGTACTGCATAATGTTACTTTTGTGAACATTAGCATGCGTAAATGCATGCGTGCATAGTACAATTCTATATGAGACCAAGAAACACAGTACTCAAAAAACCCAGGCCCCATGGCAGGCCGCTCTCTAAGATTATCTTTCAGCACATGCAACCCTAAATACATCACCTCTGACACCACTTTTTGGATAGACGCAGTGTGACGAAGGTGTAGGCAGGGCAGCATTCGGAGTTGCTCGTACTCCAAGATCGATACCAAAAGGCCACTGCCACAGAGATGCCAGAACCCGCGAACCCTGGACCCGAAACTGTCCATGTGACGCTCCTGCACTCCATCTCTCAGCAGAGTCACCAATTCGTCATGGCCGGAGCACTCCATAGCTCAAATCCCACCTCCATATACTGTAGGGGCCTAAATAATTACCAATACTATTTTAGGGGTTCCTTATTATAAACATAGTATAATGGGCCTCAAAGCCCTATTCTAATTATTAAGGCCCCTATATTAGGGATCTGCAGAATCTGCCAAGCTCTCGCGCTTGGCAGCAAGGTATTTTCCGAGCTCCGGCCTGCCCGGCTGCTTTGCACACCGCAGGGGAAGAGAACCCTAAACCCTAAACCGTTGGGGGTGGCCCCGGTGGCTTCAAATTCGGCGGCCACTGCCTTTACCGGGAGCTTCGCCACTGGCGGCCCCTATTATGGGAGTTAGGGGTACCTTCTTTTGGGGTCCTTATAATAAGGATCCTAGTATTTAGGGTACTATATTAGGGTCCCCTATTTCAGAAACTCCCATATAGGGGTCTGCTGACACTGCCAAGCTGCTGAAAAGAGCCGCTTGCTACTCGGTGTCTCTAGCTCTGGCTCCGTGTCTGCTCGGCCGAGGCCACACAGACGTCCATCTCTGCTTTTTCATCAGATTGCCGCAGCATGGTATGGTTGAATCCTACGCCCATCCGCCCAGATTTTAAAATCGCACACCAAGCATCTCTGAAAACACTGAACCACAGACCCTAAACCCTGAACTAATGATCGCAAAAACTCGACATCGCCCTGGACACCTGGCATGACGTACACCGGCTGAAACACCTGGTTCTCTGCACCTTTGGCCCGGCGCCGGCCAACCTAAACGCTACATCCCCAAACCTCGAACCTGCACCGCCAAACTCTCAAACCCTAAACCCCGAAGCCCTTGAACCCCAGATCCCTCTTAGCAACCGAAGAAACCTAGACCAGTCTCTTCAAGCCTGAACAATCTAGAAAGCCAAAACACAATCTATAAAGCACCTGAGAACTGAACAACACTTAAACTGGAGCCTGCTTTCCCGTCCAGCTGGCAATCTCCTCTTCCGTGAAGTAAACATCGCCAGCCTCGAACAAGCTTGCGGCTTCGAGTCTTGAGGCTCTACTTGGAGGGTCAGGGGACTTAGTAAGTAGGTTATAAGTAGGGTTATAATTGGGGTAACTCCATTTGGGGTACTTATATACTTATAACCTACTTCCTAAGTCCCCTGCCCCTCCAAGTAGGTCCAGGTTTCAGCGTTTAGCGTTTGGGGTTCAGGGCTTGAGTGTGTTAGGATTTAGCATGTTTAGGGAATCTATTGAAGTCTACCGGAGGCGGCTTTCGAGTGAACGCCCGGAGACTAAAGAGATCATATGCCAAGCCCAAAAATGACCCACCCCAAATCCAGGGTGACGGAACTCCTTCCTTCCTTCTAAAGCACACCCGTATGCCTAAAACCCCGATACCCGGACGCCTAAAACCCCGAACCCCAAAACCTCAACCCGGGAGCGCTAAGCCCGCTTCCCCACAGCTCCACAGCCCTAAACCCGAACCCTAAATCCGTAAACCCCAAACCCCCAAACCCTTTATAGAACCCTTCTAGATCCCTTTTAACAGGAACCCTCAACATAATTCAAGGTATATTCCTTAATTAAGGGACATTGGAGTCCCCAAAACCCTAAACCCTGTACTCAGATCCCTTTTCAAGGATCCCTTAAAGGAGCTCTAATCCAATGTATTCCTTAATGAAGTCCCCTAAACACTCAGAGGCCCTGACAGCGGCTTCGGCGTCTGCAGCCTCCGCTTCGCTAGGCTCCGCGCCCTGGAGCAAAATCATGACTAGTCTCAGAAGTAGTAGTAGTCGTCGTCGTAGTAGTAGGAGTAGTAGTAGTAGTCGTCGTAGTAGTAGTAGTAGTAGGAGTAGTAGGAGCAGTAGGAGTAGTAGTAGTAGTAGTAGTAGTAGTAGTAGTAGTAGGAGTAGTAGGAGTAGTAGGAGTAGTAGGAGTAGTAGTAGTGGTAGTAGTAGTAGTAGTAGTAGTAGTAGTAGTAGTAGTAGTAGTAGTAGCTGTTATAGTTGTAGTTGCTGTGGCTGTGGCTGCCAGTCGCTGTCGCGGTGGCTGTGGCCGTGGCTGTGGCTGTGGCCGTGGCTGTGGCTGTCGCTGTTGCTGTTGCGCAACTGCAAGTCCAAGTCCAAGTCCAGGTACAAGTGCTGCCGATGCTGCTGCTGCTTCCTGCCGGCCTCCTCCTCCTCCTCCTCCTCATCCACCCCCTCCTCCTCGTCTTAAGGCCTCTCAGTCTAGACCTTTGTATGTCTCTGTGTGTGTGCGTGTGTGTATGTCTCTCTCTCTCTCTCTCTGTTTCGGCTGGCTTGGGGCCTCCCAGGCATCAGATGGAGGGCAGCCGGGCGTCGAGGGTGGCCAGCCGAGCGGAACCTGGACGGACTGCTCAGCAAACGGAACCTCAACTCCCCAGCATGTGGGTGTTTCCCTGATTTCGGGTCCCTTTAAAGGGTGGTTGTCAGAATTATGGTCCCTTTTGGGGTAGTACGGCACCTAATATGTAGGGTACCCCAAAAGGGGCCACAATTTTGACAACCACCCGCTTAGGGTCCTTTTTCATAGGGGTGCCATACCTAGAAAGGGGACCATGTTGGGCCTTGCAAGGATCCCTAAACTCTAAAACCCTAAACCCTAAAACCCGAAACCCCCAAACCCTGTCCCCTAAGACCCTAAAACCCGAAAACCCTAAACCCTAAACCCTAAAACCCTAAACCCTGTCCCCAAAAACCCCAAAACCCTAAAACCCTAAACCCTAAAGCCCTAGAACCCTAAACCCTAAAATCAAACCTGGGTCAAAGCCCGGGCTCCGACTGCACTCATGAAGCTACCAGACGACGAGGAGAATTGCGTTTTGGGGCCCATTGTACTATACTGGTAACAAAAATAATCATAATCACAATAATAATAATAATAATAGTAATAATAATCATAATTATAATAATAACAATAATAACAATAACAATAACAATAACAATAACAATAACAATAACAATAACAATAACAATAACAATAACAATAACAATAACAATAACAATAACAATAACAATAACAATAACAATAACAATAACAATAACAATAACAATAACAATAGTAATAATGTAATAAGTAGAGGAATAGGTCTGCTTAGGCAGCTCTGCGATGTGTAGAAAACGACAGACTGAGAGTGCCATGCTGAGTAGCACCTAATATAGAGGCCTCAATAATTGGAATTGGATTTTGGGGCCCATTATGCTATACTGATAACAATATATAATAAGGAACCCCCCCATAGTAGCACCTAGCTAGCAGGCTCGGCGGACCTCTTTCACAGGCGAGCGCGTGCGCACGAACACAACAACACCCACGAGCGAATGCAAATTGTAAGCTGCACCCATGCATGCACAGAGAACGAAACCCTAAACCCTAACAGGGGAAATGGCACCAAGATCTCATTGTCGTAGTCGTAGTGACCGCAACAGTACTCGTGTCATCAGAAGTAGCAATGACGACAACCCGGAGACATGACCACAGCAACGCTCAGCGCTGAAAACACCCCTGCATTGCCATCATACGGTTGATGGTATAAACTGTATAAACCCTGCACTACCTTAAGGACCCTTAACGATGGGAATAATGGCACTATGGGAATATTGGTAGATTCTTTATATTAAATGGTAATGCAGGATTTGTTATCATACGTAGTGCTGACCAGGGGAGCTCCCATGCAATGATACAAACCAACAGTCCCGAGCCCAAACACTTCAAGACCTCAAGCAGCCAAGCTCCCTAAACCCTACTTGGAGGATCATGCGACTTAGTAAGTATGGTTATAAGTACCTTAATTGGGGTTATAAGTAATTATAAGTATAGTTACCTTAATTATAACCCTAGTTACTAAGTCCCATGCTCCTCTAAGTAAACCCTAAACCCTAATCACACAACTGACGCTTCCGGCTACAGAAAGGAGGCTTTTGTGTGTCCGAGTCCAAAACCTGAAGCCAGGGTTCAGGGAATCCTAACCCCTAAACCCCCCAAACCCCCGCCAAACCCCCCTAACCCCCCTAAACCCCCCTAAACCCGCCTAAACCCCCCTAAACCCGCCTAAACCCCCCCATAACCCCTAAACCCCCTAAACCCCCCGAAGCCCTAAACCCTCCTGAAAGGCCGAACCCTGGGCCTTCCAAGCCATGCCCCAGCCATGTCGATGCGGCGAGGGCCGGAGCAAGGGATGCAGAAACAAGAGGCTTTGGGTTTAAGGTTCAGGGTTGAGGGTTTAGGGTTCAGGGTTCAGGGTTTCGGGTTTAGTTTGGGGTTTAGGGTTTAGGGACCTCTTAAAACTGAGGCTTGGGATGGCTGAGCATACAGATGTTTTGGATGTCTCACCCATCAGCACTACACTGTCTCCGTGCGAACGACCATGTCCTCCATAACTATGGCTATCACTACCACTACTACTGCCTCCACTACTCTACCACTACCACTGCGACTACGACGGCATACCACTACATGACAGTACTAGTCGTCGTCGAAGTAGTAGTAGTAGTAGTAGTAGTAGTAGTAGTAGTAGCAGCAGAAGTAGCAGCAGAAGAAGTAGTAGTAGTAGTAGTAGTAGTAGTAGTAGTAGGAGTAGGAGTAGGAGTAGGAGTAGGAGTAGGAGTAGGAGTAGGAGTAGGAGCAGGAGCAGGAGCAGGAGCAAGAGTAGGAGTAGGAGTAGGAGTAGGAGTAGGAGTAGGAGTAGGAGGAGGAGGAGGAGGAGGAGCAGGAGCAGGAGCAGGAGCAGGAGCAGGAGCAGGAGCAGGAGCAGGAGTAGGAGTAGGAGTAGGAGTAGGAGTAGGAGTAGTAGTAGCAGTAGTAGTAGTAGTAGTAGTAGTAGTAGTAGTAGTAGAAGAAGAAGGAGGAGGAGCGGCAGTGGAATAGTAGCAGCAGTCGTCGTCGTCGTAGAGGACGTAGGTCGTCGTCGTCGTAGTTGTCGTAGTGGTAGTGGTCTTGGTCGTGGTCGTGGCAGTGGCAGTGGCAGCCGCGGTGGTGGCGGTGGTGGCGGTGGTGGCGGTGCTGGCGGTGCTGGCGGTGGTGGCGGTGGCGGTGGCGGTGGTGGCGGTGCTGGCGTTGCTGGCGGTGGTGGCGGTGCTGGCGGTGGTGGCGATGGTGGCGGTGGTGGCGGTGCTGGCGGTGGTGGCGGTGGTGCCGGTGCTGGCGTTGCTGGCGTTGCTGGCGCGGTGCCGGCGGTGGTGGCGGTGCTGGCGGTGCTGGCGGTGGTGGTGGCGGTGGTGGCGGTGCTGGCGGTGGTGGCGGTGGTGGTGGCGGTGCTGGCGGTGCTGGCGGTGCTGGCGGTGCTGGCGGTGCTGGCGGTGCTGGCGGTGCTGGCTGGCCATGGTGGCGGTGCTGGCGGTGCTGGCGGTGCTGGCTGGCGGTGGTGGCGGTGGTGGTGGCGGTGCTGGTGGTGCTGGCGGTGGTGGCGGTGCTGGCGGTGGTGGCGGTGCTGGCGGTGGTGGCGGTGGTGGCCGTGCTGGCGGTGGTGGCGGGGGTGCTGGCGGTGCTGGCGGTGGTGCTGGCGGTGGTGGTGGCGGCGGTGGTGGTGGTGGCGGTGGTGGTGGCTGTGGTGGGGCGGTGCTGGCAGTGGTGGCGGTGCTGGCGGTGCTGGCGGTGGTGGCGGTGGTGGTGGCGGTGGTGGCGATGCTGGCGGTGCTGGCGGTGCTGGCTGGCGGTGGTGGCGGTGGTGGTGGTGGCGGTGGTGGTGGTAGTGATAGTGGTAGGAGTAAGGGTACGCGTGGTGGTAGTCGCATTCGTAGTCATAGTGATGGCCGTAGTCGCAGTGTCAGTCATAGCTCCTGTTACTAGCACTAGCGCTAGCACTACCGCTGCGAATCTGTAGTTCTCATCATGTACACTAGTGCTATAGTTGCGATCAGGGTTGCAACGCAATGCCGGCGTCCCTGTGATTCCTCGCGTATGTGCGCTTTTCACGGGCATGCGAGCATGGAGCTTTAACATGCGGAAATAAGATACCTGGGATCCACAAGGATCTGAGTCTGGCTCTTGGAATGTGCAAGCTGCGGGCTTGATGTCTAGGCTTACGGCTTAGAGCTTCAGAGTCCAAAGCATCGAAGGCCTCCGAGAGCACGTAAATGGCAGCGGGGAAGACTGGAAAGCCCAACCTGCTCTTTAAATCTCAGCTTTCTCCTAGACCTCCTCCTTAGTTGATGTTTCCTCCAGTAGTCTACCGCATGGCAACTGAAGCAGTACGCCTGAATACGTACTGGTACTGGGTGCAGAAAGAACCCATCTCAGTTGTCGGCATATTAGCATGAAGAACATCGTAGATACGTGTCAGTCGGGCAGAACTAGCAGTAATGCATTGATGACAGGAAACAATACAACTCGTAGTCCCGGTACAACTATAACTTATAACAACAGCAAGAGCAGTGATACCACTCGATGTCATTACAACAGCAACAGCTAGAAGCCTAAACCCTGAATCCCAAGCCAACTGCCACAACCTGTCAGGTTCCCTGTGTTGACTTGATGAGGCGGCTATGTCCCCGAAATGACTGAACTAAACCCTAAACCCTAAACCCTAAACCCTAAGCCCTGAACTTCAAGTGACCGAAGCCCGGGTTGAGGGCGCGACTCAAACATGCTACGCACGTCAACACAACAAGAATAGCTCAGAGCCTTAGGGCTTTGGCCTTGGGGCTTTCGGGTTGTAAGACCTGGGGTCCTTGGAGACAGCTAGGCCCTAAGGCCTAAAGCCTAAGCCTTAAAGCCTACAGCCTGAACCCCGACAGCTTCACTCTTTTGCCCCGCTGACTGCCATTGCCGGCACCGTTTAACCGTTTTCGGTGTCAGCAGCTACCGTTGGGGCATGACGCTATAGTACTGGTACAGGGCTTTATGGTTCTATAAAGGCTCCGATTTAAGGCAAGGTTATCAGGGCTTTATTGAGTTCTACAGATGGTCCTATGTGGGTATCAACAATTGCTAAACAAGGGATTCGGATTTTGGATACCTGCTAGTTCAAGTATATGGAGAATGGAAGGTGGTACTTTCCGAAGTTTAGGGTTTAGGGTTTTTTCTTTTATGGGCTCTTTTCCGCCTGCATGTAGTTTAGGGTTTAGGGTTTAGGGTAGGCATCTGGGAAAAGCCACGCGCAATCATTGACCTGTGTACGTCTCCGGAATTTAAGCCTCTGCTACTACGGTCCCTCTCCCGAAACAACCGAAGTAGCACCCCCACTCCCTTCCCCCCCCCCCCCGACCCAATGAAACCTATGCAAACCTGGCACTTCATCCCTCTTGCAAAACCGGTTCCCTATTCACCCATATCAAACCTGTTCTTCCTGAGACGTAGCCGGCTGAATTCTGAGGGCCGACGCTTGCAGCCAGCTGTGCAAGCTGAGTCTAGGATCCAATATAGGGTTCTGGATTTGGGGCCAATGCAAGCCTTGACAAGTAGAAAAAGGTCTGGGGTCTAAACCCGAACCCCTACACCAGACACCGCAAACCCTAACCCCTAAACCCTAAACCCTATATGAACCCTAGACCCTAAATAAACCCTATATGAACCCTAGACCGCTGGATCGAAAGGTCGTTTGCCACCGGCCTCATGGGCTGCTTGGCTGCTTTGGCCATGCCAGGACCCATCGACGGAAGGAGCGTTGCCGGGGGGCCCTTAAACAGTAGAATAGGGCCCCTTTACAGGGATCCTTAAAGGGGATCTATACTAGGGTTCTATGGGTTCTATGGTACGTATAGGGTTTAGGGCTTCTTTAAAGGGATCCCTGAAAGGGATCTATAGTAGGGTTCTATGGTACGTATAGGGTTTAGGGTTCCTTTACAGGGATCCTTAAAGGGGATCTATAGTAGGGTTCTACGGTATGGGGTTTAGGGCTTAGGTTTTCTTGGATGCGGCGGGAGTTTCCCTAAACCCTAAACCCTAATCCCTAAAGCCTAAACTCTAAATATGCGTAGGATTTAGGGTCTCGGTTGCAGGGTCGTAGAGCTTTCAGCTTACGTCTACAGCTTTTCCTGTTAACTCTTGATGGGTCTTGTGATAAGCCCTGCGGTCTTCCAGAAGCCTCCCTAAACCCTAAACCCTGGACCCGAAACCCAAACCCTGCACCCCAAACCCTTCTTCCAGAAGCCATCTGCCTTCAACACTATCAGCCTGAAGTCCACATAATCTAGACCCAAGAATAGTCTAGGAATAAAAAGGGTGCCCTTTTTGGTTTAAAGGGCCTTATCAGGGAACTTGAACCCTTAAAAAAGGAATAAGGGTCTACTCTAGGTCCTAGTAATGATGGAGAGACCGGAATATCAATCTGGGACTTCATAAGAGTTCTATATCCGTGTGTGTGTGTGTGTGTGTGTTTAAATATACATCTACATCTACATGCTTGCATACAGACGATTTCTTCAAGTGATGCTGAGGCATGATACTGCTAGATATACTGGCCCCTAGATTAGATCACTACTGTAGGAACCTGATTAAGACACCCTGGCCCTATAATCCCAAAACAGTAGGATTATCTAAGGAACCCTATTCAGGGCCCAAGGTTTCTTAATCATGTTCCTACATCAAACCCCCCAAACCCTTATAGTACCCTTATAGTACCCTTTAAAGGAACCCCTATAGATCCCTTTAGGGGAACCCCTATAACCCTACATTAAACTCCAAAGTCTCAAATAGCAGGAGCGAGTGGGAACGGAGGGGATCCAGGTTGTGGGGTAACCTACTATAGGGCGGGTTTAGGGTTTAGGGTTTAGGGGCCTTAATAATTCGAATGGGGTTCCTTTAAAGGTTTCCTATTAAAGGGGGTTGACAAGGGATGTATAATAGGGTTCTGTATTGTTGTATTGTAGGGGCCTGAATAATTAGAAGAGGGTTTCGCGGCCCATTATACTATACTTACAATAAGGAACCCCCAAAAAAGGTAATTATTTAGGCCCCTGTAGTAACAGAAAGCTGAGTTTTCCGACGTCCCGTCCCTTCTGTCAACACTTATTGCGTGCAGGAGCTTGCCTCGTTTCGAGCTCATTGCAGCTGTGGTAGTCTGCCAGGCTGGGGGCACGGAAGTTGGATAGTCGGCGAACGGCTAGTTCTTAAAACTCTGGCTGTGCTGACATAAGCTTTGGCACTTCCCTACCCCAACCTGGATCTAGAAACCATGAAGCCCAACCGAAAGTGCCCGAA